ATTCTTTAAAGTTTAGGAAAATGTGTCAAGAGACCCCTGCGTTCCTTTTCAGCAACCTTCCCTAGATGTTTTGGGCACAAGAACAAGTTCTGTGTGAACAGCCCCCTAAGACTGGATGCTGTGACAATGTATGTAATGCAGTATTATGCTTTTTTGGTGTGTCTGGGATGGCCGGACATATTATTTTTTCGTGATTAGCATAACCCGCACATAACCACACTGCCACACTCATAACCACTGACTGTTCTCGCACAATTATTATTTTCCCACTCATGTTTACCTCTCATCTTCGCCCTTCAGCAGCATGACTCCAGCTGAGATCACCACCACCTACACCTATGACCCTTGCTTGTGCTGTCCACGTAAAAACCATTCTGCATGTGATATCTTATTATGCAGCAAGCTGATATCTGAAACTAGCACATTTCATGTTAATATCAGCCTAGTTCTCAAACCAAACCAAAATAACTGTGCTAGTTTATGCTTCAGGCTTTTGAAAGGAACCGCATGTAAGAAGGTGGAGAGAAACAAATATTTGAAAAAATATAAAATGGATTATTATGTCATTATGCCTGTATTGTAGCAAATTACACAACAAATAATATACAGCATTCTTCAAGAACAATGGCTGATTTCCAAGAAAAGTAACTAGGGCATATTTATATCGCTTTTATTGACCTCGGCAGGTCTTTCTTTAGATGTTTAGCTATCCCACCTCTGCCTGTTTTAGCTGGGTTTCTTCTGCATTTGATCATGAATGAGTTGAATGTTGTCGCTATATTGAGTACAAGATCCTCTGAGGACCCGTCTGCATTCCCTGGCTTCTTCCCATAACTACAGCACTGTGACTGCAGTTGCATGAGAAAGAGTTTAGCTTAAACAGTTGCAAGTGGGCGATAACCCTGCTTCGGTTTAATTAACTGTAATTAATGTTGTGCTCATCTGTATTATCTTCCATGGCAACCTATGCTGAATTTTTATGGAGTCGTTTAATAAGACTTGTTCCATGGCTACCGCAGTGCTGCTGGTTTATCTCTGCCATGGCTGCTGGCGTCAGTAGATATGCTATAAGTGTTTTGCTCACATTTATTGCTCTTGTAAAATGATGTTGAGTGGCTTGTATGAAGAGGCTGTGCAAGTTGGTGCTCTTCAGTGGTGTGATTTAATGTTACTATGTCAGTACTTCAAAATAAAGCCCTCCAGTGGGAATAATCAAGAGGTTTTTGTGCGAGAAAAGAGTTATTCAGTGGTTTGAGGTATGAGATTTGCTTATTATTAACCCAATGTGATGGGTTTATTTAAGTTATGTTTCTCCCAGCTTGCTCTAGTTGGTTGACTGTTCTTGTGCTTCTGCTAAATGATAAAGTAATGAGAGAGAATAAGTCATCCATGATGCAATCATGCCCACATTTATTCTAAATATAGATATGCTCACTATGGACAAGATGCACCTCAGGTGAACTGTAGGTAACTCTAGTAGTCTAAATGTTGTAAAGTATGAGTCATCTGTTCACCAACTATTACATTTAAGGGATCATATAATACACGTTTTAAAAACCATCTTATTTTTTCACTGAAGTCTGTGCTACTGTTCAAAACTTTTTGTTCAGGCTTTTGAAAGAAGTCTCTTATTTTCACCAAGGCTACATATGTTTGACTAAAAATACAGTAAAAACTGTTTAAAAGAGCTGTTTTAATATGTTTTCAATTGTAATTTATTCCTGTGATGTTAAAAGCTGAATTTTCAGCATCATTACTCCAGTCTTCAGTGTCACATGGTCCTTCAGAAATCATTCTAATATACTGATTTGCTGCTCAAGAAACATTTCTTATCATTGTCAATGTTCAAAACAGTTGTGCTGCTTAATATTCTTGTAGAAACAGTGGCATGTCCTGATTTTGCTGAGTTAGATGTGTTCCTAGGTCAACATATTTTGTTGACCCTGGAACAACATTTTAATCCAAAAATGTAGTCTTGACCATATCCCTACACCTAAACCTAACCATAACCATGAGTAATCCCTAAAATCAGAGGAAATGATAGATGAATGACACTGATGTACAAGCACCAAACACTGATTGGAAGCCTAAACTTCACAAAAACTATAAACTGGTTCGTCAAATCTGATTGGTTAATCACAATGTTGTTCCAGGGTCAATGTTGATCCAGGAACATGTCGCACTTGGTAAAATCAGGTTCTGCGGAAACAGTGATCGATTTTTTGGGGGCATTCTTTGATGAATATAAAGTTCAATAGAACAGCATTTACCTATTTGAAATAGAAATCTTTTGAAGCATTATAAAAGTTTTTCTGTCACTTAACTTTAATGCATTCTTGCTGTTTAAAAGTACGACTTTCTAAAAAAAAAAAATCTTGCTGACCCAAAACTTTTGAGCAGTAGTGTACTTAAAGTTAATTGAGCTTTCTTGAACTGAAAACGACCCGAAGTGGTAATTTTCATTTTGCTGACCAGTTTTCTTCCTTTTACTTTACCGTAAAATGAAATGTCCTGTTGTCAATATTGTATCATTATGATTTCAAAGTAAGTGACCTCTGTTATGACTGGCTAACCTGTTTGCATATGAAATAAGTGACTATGGTTTGGTGTTGTGGGCTGCTGTTACATCTTTTAGTTTGCGCAGCACTGAAAAGTTTATACCAGCCATATTTGTGACATTATCACAGAACAAAAAGCGCCAAATTCTTAAGAAAGAAACTTTCAGAGGCTCTTTCATGTTTGTGACATCACAGCCATGAGGCGTTTTTTCAGCTTGCATGGTTTCAGTCATTTCAGGTTCCCTTAGAGGAGCACTCAGGAATGTTTTGCTTATGTTGCGAAGTGAGTGAAATTCAGCTGGTCATGTGATTTCCACATGACGGCCCCCATGAGGCAGCCCACTCCATGTAAAATATTTTGTCTCAGTTTAAGTTTTTCATCTAATATTTATATTTTATTTTATTTGAGCTTAAGTGAATTAACATGTTTAATAGTTTTAATTAAAGCAGCACTATGTAACTTTTGGCGCTCTAGCGGTTAATAAACAGAACTGCACACATCCCGCGGAAGAACATTCCAACCGGAGCTACTTCTCTAAGTTTGTCTATGGCGATTCACGCAGGTATGTGTTACTCCGCAGCGGTGACGACCCGACCAGGCTACAATAGTCCAAATATAAGTACTTATTATAAGTGTACCGTAGTGATTCGGAATAAGACAAAAACGCGGTTTGGAAGATGTATTCACGATGTACTCGCTCATTATATACATTTTGCAAATTTTGAACACAGAAAAAGTTACATAGTGCTGCTTTAACAATAACAGCATTACTGAAGACTTGCATTAGAGTCTTCTTATGTGGGTGGGCATATTTATCAAAAGTACCATTCATTTGTACTTTTGAGAATGAAGGAAAAATACTGAGTGCTTCTTTTTACCTCAAATCATATATTTCTCTAAGCCTTCTTCATTATACATGATTTAGTTTAGTTTAGTTTGTTGTAGCATTTCATTGCCATGTTTCCAGTAGCTTTGTCTCTGTAGCCTACTCTGGCAAAATACCAAATGTCTTTCACTTATACACACACGCTTGTCAGAGACACTTTATTAGGGTCTTTACATTCTGGTTGCTGTGGTGAGGGTCTCTTTGCTGCAAACACTCTTGGCTTTTCAGCAGGAAGAGTTGAGGGAGTTTGCATTGCCTCTCTCTTAGTCATTTCTCTCTTGTTGATTGCCAACTTTTTTGTATGATTTACTTCTAGGCCCATTATTATCACTTCACTTTTTCTCTGTAATGTAGTTATTTTACTCTGAAGTCACATGAAAAGTATTAAAAAATAAATGAATATAAAGAAAGCAGTGTTTTATCATATTTCAGAGAGCTGATGAAGAGAAGAGGTTTTGAAGTAGTGCTGACTAGAGCAAATCTCCATGCTGTGAAAGAATGCAGAGCAGCTATTTCACTGTGAGCATGACCTCTATCTTTTTTCAGGTCTTTTTAAAGTCCAATTAAAGCTCTGGCAGAGAATCGGGGTGAATTCACTAAATGGTTAGACCACATTTGCCCACGGTATTTCAATGCAAAACTTATTTTTTGCTTTTGAACTTTCTATCCATCAAAGAATGCTGAAAGAAAGTTCCACCAAAAATATTAAGCAGCACAACTGTTTTCAACATTGTTTTATGAGCAGCAAATCATAATGATTTCATCATAAATAAATTGCATTTTTAAATATTTACTTATTTTAAATAGTCATTATAAATTGTTGTAACATTTCACATATTAAAATGTTAATATTTTTGATTAAATAAATACAGCCTTAGTGAGCAAAAGAGACTTATTTAAAAAATAATACTGTTATTCCAAATATATAGTAAACGTTTGACTGTTAGCATATATTTGTGTGCATTTTCTATTGGTTATGATGGTAGTAATCCATATCTTGTTCAAGCTAATCAAAGGAGCTTTTCTTAACCACTTTACACTATACCAAGTTAGCAGGATAAGCTGTTAGGTTGCTAACTGAAGTTAGCAAGATTTTACCTGATTCGCATGAATTTGCGCTAAAACAAAATAGTGTTTGTAAGAAATCAACGCTTTCAACAAGCACAGTTCATTAATTCTTCCCTCATCTCTCCTGCTTTTTTTTCACCTCAGCCTATTGTAACACAGCCAGGCTTAACTTTGCTTTGAAAAGTCTATAAAGAGCTCAGTGTGCGCTATTGGCAATTTTGCAATCTTTGCTCTCAGTGAATGGTCTTTTTCCAAGCTTGCACAAGCCTGTGAAGGAGAGCAAGCCACTTTAATCAGGGAAACAAACATATGTTGATGATTAAGAATGAGAACATAGAAGAAATTATTTTCCTATTATTGTCATTTGGTGTCCTGTTATACGTGCAGTCATTGCTGCTGACGTTTACACACAGATATTGGTGTCTTACATCACTGTGGGATGACTTCTGACCTCTCAGTGTTCTCACGTCTCGAGTATGTGAGAGTGTGCACATATATATTTATTTTGGAAGATGCCTGAGTAATGAGTTGATTTTGGTCCATGTTTTGGATGAAATATTAAAACGGTGTATGACTCAGTGCCGGGAAGTGTTAGTCTCTGGCATATATAACTTTGTGAATATGAGAACAACCTTGGGGACGGCACATTATGAGTGAATTATAGTATGTGTACCTCTAAGAGACTTGACACTTCAGATTTACAGCATGCAGCAGGTGTGTTGGACAGACTGGAAAACATTTAGAAAGAACAGGAGGTGCTCATATTTTAAAATGATGTATGTGTGTGTCATAGGTGTGCTGGACGATGAAGATGTGCAGCTGATGCTGCAGGGGTCAAAGATGATGAAGGTTCGATCTCAGCGTTGGCGGAAAGACAGGAGCCTGAAGCTTCTGGAGGACTGTGTGACGGTGTGGTGTGAGTCCAGCAAAGCCTCCCGCAAAGGCAAAAGCCAGCAGACCTGTGAGTAAATCATCTGTGACTGAACTACATCCAAAAACAAATATCAAAATTCAGCTTTCAGCACAGCATTTGTGAGTTCAGAAATTATGCGGCAAGATGAGCAAGGGTCGGTTTAGTAAGTGCTCTCAGCTGAGCTCCCGAGGGCTTTTTATCAAGACATTTAGTTTCTACATTTTGAGTTTACCTCCCTACATCTCTACAATGGGTCATTTTCTGTTTCATATGAATCACACAGAATAAAAAAATGCAGTTTGGTGTTGGGATAAAATTCAGTAAAGATGACATTCTTCACAAGGTTTTGTTTAATGAATTTAATCTCACAAGAGTGCTGACAGAGAGGGTGGTCGCATTGATTGTTAAAGGGGTCATATGACGTTGCTAAAAAGAACATTATTTGGTGTAATGCAACTGCATAGACAGCAACACAACTGACATGTTCAAGGCACAGAAAGGTAGTGAGGACATCATTAAAATAGTCCATGTGACATCAGTGGTTCAACTGAAATTTTATGAAGCTACGAGAATATTTTTTGTGCACAAAGAAAACAAAAATAACGACTTTATTCAACACTTTCTTCTCTTCCGTGTCAGAATTTGACAGACATTCACGACAACAGTACCGCGGTGCATGCGTGTGCGTTCCTCTACGTCAGCAGCACCGCGCGCATGCGTCATGGTACTCTCGTATCATTGTTTTTGTTTTCTTTGCACACAAAAATTATTCTCGTAGCTTCATATAATTAAGGTTGAACCACTGATGTCACATGGACTGTTTTAATGATGTCCTTACTACCTTTTTGGGCCTTGAACGTGATAGTTGCGTTGCTGTCTATGGAGGGTCTGGAGTTCTCGGATTTCATCAAATATTACTGTTTTTACTGTCATTTTGATCAGCCTTGGTGAGCATAAGAGACTTATTTCAAAAACATTAAAAAAATGTACCGACCCCAAACTTGTGTATTTGTTTTTTTTTTCTCACAGTACAGTAGATGATTTAAAATGACTTTATATTTTCATGGGTGCCAGTGACACCATTACTGTGAGGAAGGTGCCATGATGCCAGAACTTAACATGTGAATAAAAAGATATAATACTGGACTCAGTAGCAGTATGGAAACATATTTTTTACAACTAATCAGGTCAAGGAATCATACTGTCACACCCTAGAGGAAAAATAATGATCAGAAAACAATCACAGTCTGTTTCTTCTTTCTTCACCTACTCTGACCTCATAATTGGCTCGGAGTCAAAACAAGACGTTATTAATGTTTGCTATGCTTTCTTTTTGAATGCCTATTGTTAACCTCACCCCAAAGGACCCAGCAGGCATTAAATCTTATGATGTTCTGTTTTTAGTAAATGAATGCCACTGAATTTAACAGGATGGATGGATTTGGCTTAGTGTAATGAACTGTAGCAGTGACCCAATTAAACACAGGGCAAACAAGGGAAAGATTTTCAATTTATGTTATCGAAATGTCTAAATACAGCACTACTTATGATGCAGAAAGGTTATGCAATGATGATTCATTACAGGTGCCATCACAATATATTATGTATGGGTCTTATATTTTTGATAAGACTGCATTTTAACCATTTTAGTTTCTCATTGGATAGACTAAAGGGTCAGTATTTTTTTCCATTTAGATTGTATATAATAATTATTATTTGGTGGGGATCCAGTATCATGCTTTTTTCCCCATTGTAAACCACTCACCTTTGACCATCTGTGATATATTGCTCAGCAGGTTTTTGTTGAGGGACGGGACTTTCCAATCAATGCAACAGCAAACAGAAAACCCATAAAGTTTTGTGTGCATATGTCTGAACTCATTAATACATGTCTGGTTGTGTGTTCGTCTATATAGACTACAAGCTCAGACCCTCAGCTTCCCTCCAGTTTAATTTCCTACTTTGTTTGGCTTGTTTCACAACATCAAACAAAGCCAGGAAATTAAACTAGAAATATTTTCATTAAAAACCATGATTATGATCCTGAACTGTCTGAAACTCGCTTTAAATGATTTCAGACCAGCAGATTTGGTGCTTACTTTGAATAGAGGTGTTAATTGTCTCAATCTGTTACTTTCACCTGCTTTTCAGGTCATTGATGATCTTCTTTTAGTCACACAAATTCAACCTTTGCTCCTAGCGTAATGGAAACATACCACAGATTCATCTGTGACAAGAGACATCATGGGAAATTAGCTGCTCTATCATCTCTAATCTCTAGCTGTTCAGATGATTGTTAATCTGTTTTTAATCTCATTTATGCTCTTCAGATGGATTGATAATCCACTGTGAGAGTGAAGAGAATCAGTCTTCCTGCTATAATCCCATTCATGGCGCTTCACTGGAGCATGGGAACGTTGTTTCTCTTATTAGACCTCTGGCGCTGACATCACCCTCAAAAATCTGTGATTATGTGATCTCTCTTCACATTTGCTGCATAACATTAGCTGCATAGAGATATCTGAGGCTACTCAATGTAACAAATTATTTGATTAAAAAAAGTCAGTTAAGCAAAATTCGAACTTGTGACCGCTTGCTCTTAAAACAGGAAAAGTTTGGCCCACAAGACAAGGAGTTTAACAATCTTAAGACTTAAATCCTAAAATCTCTCCCGAATCAGACTCATTCATACAAATGGATTGTGAACAACAACTGTGTCCTTTGTATAATAATATGGACATGTGAATTGATGCATGTTTCTATTTATCTATTGTAGTCATATGTTTCTGGATTTTGAAACATGCAAAGTTTCAATATACACATGCAGCTGTACAGTAAAAAGCCCAGGTCACGTGTTTATGAATAATCCCTGCTCTTAGGGAGGATGTATGGGTCATTCTGATGACCTCTGATGAGACCCTGAGGACTAAAGTGAACTTATAACTAATCATGTGTCTCAGTGTGATTAATAATCACACGGTAGTGCTAGTAATCACTTTTGTGATTTTTCTATGTAAGATGTTGATTATGTAATATCATTATGTAATAATTCGTGTTTTTTTGTTGTAATTGGAACACATTGGTGCTTTGTTGTTTCTTTGACTCTTTCCAAAATGCTGCTTTTGTAGTGTATACATAAATCTTGATGCACCCTAGACAACATCAAAAGACCGCCCACTCACCTGTCAATCATCACCTTTAGTAAAGCAAGAGTTTAAACATAGGAATTTATGCAAGTTCTTTGATATGCCAGACGTCAACATGTAGTGAATAGTGACACAGATCATGTGAAGCATATGAAGTTCAGTTTATACGGGCTCTCGACTAAAATATCAGTGAATGTTCCACTTGAAACCTTACTTTTGTTCTGTTCATTTGAAAGCATATTTGGAAACAACAGTCAAATTTAACAGTATACAGTATTGCTATAATTGCTTCACTCTTGTCTTGGCAAACATTGTTTGTTCGGTACACTCTCTGTTAGACTAGCTGGGACGATATTTGGGGGAATATTGTTAGATAAGTGATTTGAAAGTCATATACATTTACTAGTATGTGTGTTCACATGGTAGCAAATCATTATTCAAAATAAAAAGTATTTGTAGGTGAGTATAAGAGACTTATTTCAAAAACATTGACAGTCTTACTGACCCCAAACTATTGAATGGTAGAGTAGCATGAAACTCACTTGAAAATGCTCATAAACCAAACACTTTTATTTGTACTGCTCGACTCAGAGAGCTGCAGTAGATGAGACAGCCTCTCTCTCTGTTTCTGTCTTGTGTTGCGTCACACTGGCTTCAGGAATGCAGGCTCAGCTGCTCCTGTCCAATCCCAGCATGCCCCTCACAGCTCACGGACTGCCACACACTTGAGGGAATAAACATAGTCCAAATAATACATGACTGTGTGTGTGTTTGCATTATGTGAATAAGTGTTTGTGCGTGTGACGTTGCATCATGCACCACTTCATCCCTTTGTTATTTTGGCTATTTATTAATGTAGATAAAGATAGAAGACACGTGGTTATGGCATAAGTGTCAAATAGCCTGCACTAAATGATGCCGGTCTGCTTAGGAGATGAGTCTGTGCAGGTGTCTTTGTGCTGGTAGGGAGGAGCTCCTCATGCAGGGCTGGATCTCTGGAGAGTTCATGCTCCTGTGCATATATGCAGTGGGCATTAGTGAGGAATGCCAGTGGCGTAATAAATGCCCATTCACTGCACATGTGCGCTGTTAAAATTAACACTCTTCTTCTCCATATACACAAGAATTATGAATGCATGTTTGTCAGTGTTTGGAAGTGGGCAGAGAGTCTTTGCCATTTAAAAGAGCATGTGTTTGTGTCTCTGCATGTCTCTTTGTTTATTTGCAGCGTAGGAGTTTCCACAGGTCAAAGACGTTATTGTTGCAACTACTGTCTACAATTCCTCATTATAGCTGACTTGAAGTACACTTACTGTAAAATGATGGAGGAGAAGGAAAGTCCATGTAATACACAGAGCTATATTATATTTGATTGTCACTGTATTAGCAATAGCATTTCGTAATTGGTAAAATGATTGCCTGTCCAAAGCCTCTGCTTGGCTATCAGGTGGGTTTATATGGGTGTGCGTGTGTGTGTGTGTGTTTTAGGAGTACATAGTGAACATTTTTGGCACTGTGTTGCACAGGTCATATTTTACAAGTGCCAAATTAATCCTCACACACATGTCCGTCGTCACACACTGTGATGACACATTTGACCTCCTTCTTACATGGACTTTAAATAGTTTTATTTTTTTCCTGTAAGTGTCCTTGTTGCTTGTTTATCATTCATTTACGTGTTAATCATCAGAATTTAAAGCATTTCGTTTGGTTCATTTTAATTTTGTTTAAATTATTGTTTAGTTTAGTTTAATTGTTTTGAAGTCTTATTTTAAATGACACAGCTAAGACTTGCTTTTAGTTTTGTTTTATTTTTAATTTTGTTTAGATAAATATATATTGTTTTTGTTTATTCAAGTAGTTTATCTTAGCTTAGTTTATATCCTTTGAAGTGTTCTTTGGAATGATACAGCTAAGAGTTGCTTTTAGTTTATTTATTTTTGTTTAATTTTGTTTAGATAAATATATATTGTTTTTTAATTCTGCTAGTTTAATTTAGTGTTTTAAGTTGCTTTTAGTTTAGTTTTTATTTTATTTTAGGTTTTATTTTTAGTGTTTTATTTTTGTGTTCATTCAGTTAGTTTAGATTTATTTAAATCTTGATGTCTTTTGAACAACATACTGTAATTATTAAGATGTTCTTTTAATTAATTTGAATTTGTCCAGTTTTTAGCTTATTTTCTTTTAATGTTTTCTTTTTTGTGTGTCTTAGTTTTGTATCGTTTAATACAGGTTGATAGCGTCAGTGTTTCAGAGGTTGCCAAATGTTGGACATTTACTCATAAGTTGACATATATAATGGAGACACTTTAATATTAGGGTTTGTTTAAAGCTTCATGTTGTAGTTTTTTTTGTTTGAGCGGCCAAACTGGTGTTTGAAACTTGATTCATTTCTTTTTTTGCAGTTCTTTTTGGTGTCACTAGTGACACATAGATTACACGATTCATTTCTTTTTTTGCAGTTCTTTTTGGTGTCACTAGTGGCACATAGATTACACGCATTACTGCACAGCATTACTCAGTGAGAGAGCTGACTAAATATAGAGCAGATCTAGAACAGATATCTAAACGCCACTCCACCGCACATGTGAACCTCGGAACGTATCATGCTATCTCTCCTTGTTCAAAAATACATTTGTCCTATTTCTCTTTCCTCTAATGTGGTTTTCACTCTATTGTATTTTCTTTTTTAACCTGTAACCAATTTGTTGTACTTGTATTTCTAATATTTTTTTGTTTTGGGTGTTATGTTAATTTTCAACTACATGCAGCTTCTAATTTTAATTGAATGTTAAAATGTGTTAGTTTTTATTTGATCTCAGCTTAAAGAAATACAGTAGTTCACCCAAAAATGAAAATTCTGTCATTAATTACTCACCCTCATGTCGTTCCAAACCCATAAGACCTTCGTTCATCTTCAGAACACAAACTAAGATATTTTGATGAAATCCGAGAGCTTTCTGACCCTGCATAGACAACAATGTAACTGACATCCTCAAGGCCCAGAAAGGTAGTAAGGACATTGTTAAAATAGCCCATGTGACATCAGTGGTTAAACCATAATTTTATGTAGCTATTATTTTTGTTTAATTTTGTTTAGATTAATATATTTACTTTTTTAATTCTGCTAGTTTAATTTAGTGTTTTAAGTTGCTTTTAGTTTAGTTTTTATTTTATTTTAGGTTTTATTTTTAGTGTTTTATTTTTGTGTTCATTCAGTTAGTTTAGATTTATTTAAATCTTGATGTCTTTTGAACAACATACTGTAATTATTAAGATGTTCTTTTAATTAATTTGAATTTGTCCAGTTTTTAGCTTATTTTCTTTTAATGTTTTCTTTTTTGTGTGTCTTAGTTTTGTATCGTTTAATACAGGTTGATAGCGTCAGTGTTTCAGAGGTTGCCAAATGTTGGACATTTACTCATAAGTTGACATATATAATGGAGACACTTTAATATTAGGGTTTGTTTAAAGCAGAAGTTTCACGTTGAAATTTTGTTTGTTTGAGTGGCCAGACTGGTGTTTAAAACTATTTCTTTTTTGCAGTTCTATTTGGTGCCACTATTTGTGCATAGATTACACAATTCACCTTTAAGTAACAGATTATGTAAATTATTATTAGTGGTGATGATCCAGTCACCTGTTTGTGTGTGTGTGGGTTCTTTCTGTCAGTCTGTGTGACGGAGGTGGAGTGTGTGCGGGAGGGCTGTCAGTCGGAGTGTCTGCGACGAATGGCAGGTCTGGTTCCAGAGACCCACTGCTTCACTGTGGTCTTCCGCGGAGGAAGGAAAAGCCTGGATCTGTGCTGCTCTACACAGGACGAAGCAGAGCGCTGGGTTCGAGGCCTCCGCACACTCAAAGACCGTGTTTCCAACATGAGCCAGAAAGAAAAGCTGGACCAATATCCTTAAAGCCATACCTGCAGAGAGAAAATGCTAGTAATTTCCTAACTGCAAATAGACACACATCCACTGCACATTTACAGCATTTAATACACATTTAATTATAGGATTTAAACAGAAGGCTTAGGTTTCACTTCCTTGGCCAGCATATGCCAATAAATGCACATGTAAAACACACTCTCCATTACTGCACAGCATTACTCAGTGAGAGAGCTGACTAAATATAGAACAGATCTAGAACAGATATCTAAACGCCACTCCACCGCACATGTGAACCTCGGAACGTATCATGCTATCTCTCCTTGTTCAAAAATACCTTTGTCCTGTTTCTCTTTCCTCTAATGTGGTTTTCACTCTATTGTATTTTCTTTTTTAACCTGTAACCTATTTGTTGTACTCATATTTCTAATATTTTTTGTTTTGGGTGTTATGTTAATTTTCAACTACATGCAGCTTCTAATTTTAATTGAATGTTAAAATGTGTTAGTTTTTATTTGATCTCAGCTTAAAGAAATACAGTAGTTCACCCAAAAATGAAAATTCTGTCATTAATTACTCACCCTCATGTCGTTCCAAACCCATAAGACCTTCGTTCATCTTCAGAACACAAACTAAGATATTTTGATGAAATCCGAGAGCTTTCTGACCCTGCATAGACAACAATGTAACTGACATCCTCAAGGCCCAGAAAGGTAGTAAGGACATTGTTAAAATAGCCCATGTGACATCAGTGGTTAAACCATAATTTTATGTAGCTACGAGAATACTCTTTGCATGCAAAGACTGTATTACGTTATATTTTTTATTATAATAATGGCAGAGAGATTGTTTTTTTGTTTCATATTATATGGCTGGCAGCATGCTGTGTATGCATATTATTGGTTTGTCTAGTTTTCCCTAACTGTGCACACTTGGGGGTGTTGTGGAAACTTTATATAACTTTATATACTTTATACTTTAGTTCTTCAGTGTATACATCCAGGAGAGTAGACAATTACATGCACAATATTTATAATCTTACTTGCATAATCAAGACTTCCCAGAATGCAACTTACTTGCATTCCACTTTTTCTTCTTAAACATTATTTTTATTTCTCTTGAAATGCTGAATCAGAAATATATTCTTATGTATATGGTATACCTATGTATACTTGCTTATGTATTATGAAATACATAAAAATAATTCTTCCACAGAGGTCAGTAAGATTTTTTTTATGTTTTGATAGAAGTCTCCACCAATGCTTACCAAGGCTGCATTTGTTTGATCCAAAATGCAGTAAAACAGGAATATTGTGAAATATTATTACAATTTAAAATAACTGTTTTCTTTTTTAATCTATTTTAAAATGTTCATATTCATGTGATTTCAAAGCTGAATTTTCAGCAGCTATTACTCCACTCTTCAGTCACACGATGCTTCCTGTCTTTACTGTCACTTTTGATGTTTTAATGTAACCTTGCTAAATAAAATTATTTCTTTCAAAAAATAAAAAACAATAAAACAAAATAAAAGTCGAAATTTTCACTGCCGAAAATAATTTTGGCCATAAAATTTTTATGGGGATGAAACTGTCAGCAGTGCAAGTACAAATCTGATCCAGCAGGAAAAAAACCAATCTTATTTTTGAGCCCTGTACTGTAATTTGAGAAACAAACAACAACTGTTAGAGTCGCAACAAAAGGAGCTATTTGTCAGAGCTGTTGTCTAGCAGTCGACCCATGGCGCTCATGTGGGCAGTGTCAGTTCAGATCTAGCTCACATTTCGAGAAGGGTATAACTGCAGCCCGGAGATCTCCAAATGGGGGCAGGAACTCCAACTCTACTGTTTATATACTGTCAGTAAAAATGGCACAAAGGCCAACTCAAAACTGGTTTTAGTTTGTCATTGTGTGATCTAATGATGTAAAATATCCAACCTGTTGAAAACTGGAGTGCAGGTCCAACAGTAAACTGGAAAAACCACACCTGTCCACTTCCACGAACTAGTGTGAGTGCATAGCTCAGTAGTGTGTCACTGGTTATTGTGTCAAATAACTGACAAACCTTGGTTATTCATTTCTGCTCTTACTAGAACTGAGAGTAATGCATTAGTGATACAAAAATAGGATAAAAAGTCTGTATTAAACATGTCCTTATCTAGCTCTACTGAAGATTGTGTTTAACCATGTTAACTTTTGACCAATATATTTTCTTTATGACCCTCAGCCCGGAAGAATCTGTTCATGACCCAGAATGGTTTCACCATGCACATGCTCTCGAAAGAGAATGATGTGTTTAACCCGGATCACGCTCACGTGTATCAGGACATGAGCCGACCGCTGGCGCACTACTACATCTCTTCTTCTCATAATACATACCTCACCAAAGACCAGGTGACCAGCGCCAGCAGCACCGAGCCTTATATCAGGTACAACACCCACCCAACTGCACCGTATAATCTGCCTCCAGCACCACAGAGGTACTGCTAGTAGACCAAAACACACTTATACTTTGCTCGGTAAAATCCCAGTGATTACTTGTGTCTGCATTACCGCCTTTGCTTATTTAGGAACCATTTGTGTTCTGTAACACTATTGCACTGGGAGAAAGAATTATCCCTAAGGTCACAGTAACAGGAAACACTTTTAAACTGACCTTAGTTGACTTTTGGTAAGATTTTAAAACGTTATTGAAAGAAGTCTCTCTTGCTCGTTATGGGCAAGGTTTACTAAACAGGGTAAATTAGTGTTAGAGCGCAATTCCATAAAAGCGCCAATGGGAGGAGAAAATTCTGCGTGTGTTTTACTGACAAGGAGCATATTAAAGAACACAGATGCAACATCTCATTTCCATAATGACCAGCGCAATCTACCAAGAGCAGCGCAAATTACCGCCTTCTTTAAAAACATGCTTTTTTGGGCGTTACATAATGGACGCAAATACCAGTAATTTGACGAGCGCAAACGTTAGTAAATCGCATTGCATGATTCATTTTAATACTCTCCTCCCATAAATTTTGCATCTGAAAGGGAAACTCCTACAAATGCATATTCAATAAGTCAGGCACAAAAATAACTGTCCACGCCTTTTCAGCGCTAATTCTTGACTGCGCGTCTTTAGTAAATCTTGACAGTACTATTTTAACGCCAAAAAACAGTTTGCGCTGGCGCAAGCTGTTAGTAAATCTGGCCGTATGACTGCATTTATTTCACCAAACACACAGTAAAAATAATAATATTGTTTTCTATTTTATATATATATTTAAAGAGTCCCGTGATAGTCATTACTCCAGTCTTCAGTGTCACATGATCTTTCAAAAATCATTCTAATATGCTGATTTGCTGCTCAAGAAACATTTCTGATTATTAACAATGTTGAAAACAGTTGTGCTGCCTAATGTTTTTGTAAGAGCAGTTTTACTTTTTGGATTCTTTGATAAATAGAAGGTTCAAGGTTCAATAGAACATCATTTATTTGAATATCTTTGAAAATCTATTGTATTTCTTCACTGCAATGCTTAAATTTAATGTGTCCCCATACCTCTGAATGGTGATGTAACTATTTACGTGATATCCTACAGTGCAGCACTTTTTTTCAGGACTTATGAAAAAGTCATTAAGCTATGAAAAAAAAATGGCCTATCATTATTTTGCAACGTAAAGAAAATATTTTCAGGGAAACTAAAAAAGTGTTCATGTGGTAACATCCAAAATAACTTGAAGTAGAAAATATTAATTGCTTAATTGTTGCTTAAATAAACTTGACTACATTAGGATAAACCAACAATTTTATTTAATTTTATTTATATTTTTATTTATTAGATTTTATATTTTTTTTGTAAACCAACAATTAAGGTAATTTACAGGGTTAGATTAAATAGAAAAAAAAACATCCTTATCAACTGCAGAATTCTGTGGAATGGGATTACATTTTGTACAATAGAGCTATGAGCCGTTAATATGTTTAAGTGCACACACAATGGACCAGCAATGCAGTATGTAGAACTTTATGTATGACAGGTTATCCAATTCTGCGGAGATCTGTAAGGCTCATTTTCCATCCAGGCCTTTACCTCATGAAATATTTGATCACCAGCGGTAGCTGTACAAAACATTATGAGATACAACACACAATGCTAATTCACATACTCGGATGATATTTATTGTTCATACTCTTTGTTTGTGGTTAAACTCATGGGTTTTGTGTTTGTGTTTAGAGCTCTGCATCAGGGCTGTCGCTGTGTTGAGCTGGACTGCTGGGACGGTGATAAAGGAGAGCCCATGATCTACCACGGACACACGCTCACCTCCAAAGTGCTCTTTAAAGAAGTCATTGAGACCATCGCTCAGTACGCCTTCAAGGTGCAGACACATGAACCATAACAGCCTATGATGAAAATCTTTGGGTTTGCATGCTTGATAGTTGACATTTAAATAATTGATTCTCTTGAATAACCATGTCTCTCTCTCTCTCCATAGACATCTCCGTATCCTCTGATCTTGTCCGTGGAGAATCACTGCTCAGTGGAGCAGCAGGCGGTCATGGCGCAGCATCTTCGCTCTATTCTGGGAAAGAAGCTCCTGAGAAAGCCGCTCAATGACCTGCCCCTCAAAGACCTACCCTCACCTGAGGTCACACACACCTCCAGTTTTGCTCTTCCTTAACTTAACAATTTATCAAATTTCCAGATGTTACCATTTTTCTCTGTCGCTTTGCTGCATTTCTCGAATCATCCTTAATATTTGCAAAGAAGTATGTGCATTTCTCAAAACGATTCGTACAAACAGCTCCACACAATGGATTACCTTCAAAAGCCTGTAACTTACTCAAAATCTTTAGTTCATCTCTCAAAAGTAAGTATTTATGTCAATGAACGAAAAGTCCTTGTGCCATTGTTCACAAACAAGACAGTCAAAATGCTTAGTCATGTTGTCAATACAACAGTGCTCTCTGTTAGTATTACCTGATGTAAACTATGGCAACAGCATCTTCGCTCTATTCTGGGAAAGAAGCTCCTGAGAAAGCCGCTCAATGACCTGCCCCTCAAAGACCTACCCTCACCTGAGGTCACACACACCTCCAGTTTTGCTCTTCCTTAACTTAACAATTTATCAAATTTCCAGATGTTACCATTTTTCTCTGTCGCTTTGCTGCATTTCTCGAATCATCCTTAATATTTGCAAAGAAGTATGTGCATGCATTTCTCAGATTCGTACAAACAGCTCCACACAATGGATTACCTTCAAAAGCCTGTAACTTACTCAAAATCTTTAGTTCATCTCTCAAAAGTAAGTATTTATGTCAATGAACGAAAAGTCCTTGTGCCATTGTTCACAAACAAGACAGTCAAAATGCTTAGTCATGTTGTCAATACAACAGTGCTCTCTGTTAGTATTACCTGATGTAAACTATGGCAATAGTTTGGATGGCAGTTACTGTAGTGAAATGCAGGAGGCTGCACTTCTTATGTATGCCATATATCCATTTCAAAAGTACAAATTTACACATTACTGTATGTGTGATATTGATTGAAAGAGACTGTTTCGAAACGTTTGAATTATTGAGGATATAATCGATCTCCCAATATTTGGCTTCACCTTTCGACCCGCCGTGAGTGACAACATGGTCCACATTAGTGGCCCTTATTTCATCTGATTTGCACCTCTGTCCTTGGCCTCTTCCTCTGTTTTGCCTCTGTACCTTTCCAGCATGCATCATTACTCCTCTTCTTCCTCTTTGCTGTTGACCCTGATGGTTCCTGGATGTTCATCCATTGTCAGAATTTGTAACTCTTGTGTTGTCCTCTGTCTATATATGCTTTCCAATTGAAAGTTCATGAGATGCACCTTTGATGTATTTCAGAGAACTAGCTTATCATTGGTTGATCTAAATTCTCTTCATTAGTGAAAGTCAAGATTCACCTGCACAATTCATGGCAAATTTACAAAAAGACTAATAGAAATGTGTAGAAAATATGCTTGACAGTTTATAACAACTAGATGAACCAATTGCATGAATGTACCAAAGCAATCGCAACTTGTTCAGAAGAATGAGAAATTGTTTTTTTGATGTGCACAAGTGACTAGATGATGTGGAGGTTGAACAAGTAGTTTTGAGAATTTTATTTCTGATCTGAGAAATGCACCAAAGCGACTGAGAAAAACTGTAAGAGATTTTTAGGCGTAACTGGATTAAAAAAACAAACAAACAAACAAACAAAAAAACGTTTATTTTCAGTACGCTAAATTAAACATTCCATGTAAGTGATCTCAGTGCAGCAAACTACTGTTTCAAGCATTTAGTAGTTTAAGCATTTGTGTACTTTCACATGCTACTTTTTAATATAAGCAGTATGTGTTATGTATTATGTACTGTACTGTCCAGTAAGCATGCTGAATTTCTCAGCGTTAATCATAATACAGTGATAATACAATAATTACTGTAACTGTCTCACTTCATGTTTTACATAGCTATAGAGTGCTGTCATTTACGTAATTACACTCAAAATGTACACTGGGTCGTTATCTTGTGCTCACTAAGTCTGCATTTATTTGATGAAAAATACAGTAAAAACAGTACTAATGTGAAAAATTAGCGTTGCCACCACAGGAATAAATTACATTTTAAAATATATAATTACAGAAAACAGTTATAATATATTTTAAAATGTAATTTATTCCTGTGGTGTCAACGCTGAATTTTTTATAATTTGTTCTATTATGCGGATTTGGTCCTTAAGATATAAATTGAATGTTGAAAACGGTTGGGTTGCTTAATATTTTTGTGGTAACCATGATTTTTTTTTCTTTTCAAGATTCTTTGATGAATAGAAAGTTCAAAAGAAAAGCATTTATTTGAAATAGATTTTTTTTGCAACGATGTAAAATTTTAACGCATATTTTCTGAAGAAAAATATTATTTTAGTAATATTACTGACCCCAAACTTTTGAATGGTAATGTGTGTAATTCGGCAGATACTTTTTCCAAAGTTACTTCCATACATTCTCTGGAAATCAAACCTAAGATCTTGGTGTTGCTAACCCTTCCTTTCTCGCTTCAGGAAACTTCCTGTTTACTTTCTGAGGATTATCAGTAAAAACATCTGACACTTGCTGTCTAAAAAAAAAGGAAATGTGTAATCATGTAGTACTAGGAATGAATTTAAGTCAACACTCATGTACTGTAGTGTACACTTTTATAAGCACACTTGACTCCATTTACTATACATATTTATGATGACTTTCCTTTCTGTCTTTCACTCTCGACAGTTTCTGTCATGACACAATTTTTCCATCTTATTTAAGGGCTGTTCCAGCCTCTGAAATGAATTATTGTTTACTGTCACAATGTTTTAAAGCTACCATTTTCCAAATCAGAAGAAAGTGTTCCTGGTATTGGTGAACATTTCTATTACTCACATGTTCCTGGTTCACTGTAGGAGTTGATGGGGCGGATCCTGCTGAAGGGGAAGAAGTTAGGTGGTCTGCTGGGGAAGACTGAAAGCTGGACTAGCTTCTCATGTAGCTCAGATGAAGAGTCTACTGCTGGAGGGGGCGGGAACAAAAAGGAATCTAAAAAAGATCCTGGGAGGGTGAGTTCAGATATTAATTTCTTTTTGGGCCAATGAATTGATTTGTAAATTATTGGAAGATTGTGTGGTTTGATTGTCTGCGTATGAGTATGATTATAGCTCAGGTAAATGCATTAGCTACATTACAGTATATACTATATGGAATGTGTGTGTGTTTATAATACATGCAATGTCTAAATGTTCACTGAAAAAATCTTCTTGTGTGCGAAGATATACTTTGATACGTATACATTCCCTCCCCAGGCTGTGAGCACTAAACTGAGTCCAGAGCTGTCAGATCTGGTGGTGTACTGTCAGAGTGTGCCCTTCAGTGGTTTCGAGACAGCCAGCCAGAGACCTCCTAGCATGATGTCCTCTTTCTCTGAGAATGAGGCGCTCAAACTCATCAAAGACTCAGGTGAGATGAACAGACGAATCTTACGCCACATTTTCACCTAAGCATTCATCATATACCAAATCAAGGTGCTAGATAGATAGATAGATAGATAGACAGACAGACAGACAGACAGACAGACAGACAGGACGATAGATGTGGCACGTGACTTCCCAGCAATGCACTACTCTAGGAATATACAGTATTTCACATATTACTGTGAACTGTATTGTTTTAATGTTTGCTGCTTTTATCTGGACCGGCTTGTTGCTTAGGGCGCTGCCAGATGGTTCATAATAAATAAGCTGATCATCAGATCACTTCCAAAGCAAAGACACTGCTCTTCCAGCCAACACTGACAGCCAGCGGCATGACTAATTTACATCAAACTCACGTCACTTCATAATTAGATCGTGTCACCACTTTTCAGAGCTCAGCATTTACCACACAAACTATAATAACCGAGACAACCAAAACAAAAAAGTCAAAGATCAGTCATGCTGTCCTTTGGGGAAAAATTAAGTACACTGAAACTATAGGAGGAAACTATCAGATTATATAATGTATTTAGTAAATCAAAATGATATTTACACTTTTAAAGGTTGGGGTCGGTAAGATTTTAAAAATGTTTTTGAAAGAAGTCTCTAATGCTTATAATGACTGAATTTTTGGATTAAAAATACAGTAAAAACAGCACTATTGTGAAATATTATTACAGTTTAAAAGAACTGCTTTCTATTTGAATATATTTTAAAATGTAATTTATTCCTGAGATGCAAAGCTGCATTTTCAGCATAATTACTCCAGTCTTCAGTGTCACATGATCCCTCAGAAATCATTCTGATAGATTTGCTGCTTATTATCATATGCTTCTTATTGCTGTCAATGTTTTGTTTGTCTGTGTGTTTGTGTGTGTGAACCTTGACTCAATTTTTAAGGATTCTTTGATGAACAGAAAGTTCAAAAGTTTGAAATATAAATCTTTTGTAACAATATAAATTTCTTTACTCTCAATTTTGATCAATTTAATGTATCTTTGCTGACTAAAAGTATTAAATTCTTTAAAAAAAAACATCTTACTGACCTCAAACTTTTGAACAGTGTTGTATTTGCCACAAAGCCAATGAGAATTTCAATTAGGTAACAGCATTTCAACTAAATAGTAAATAATATATAAATAACACATTTGTTTTATAAATACTAATAAATAGTAATAATGTAGCATTTTGTCATGCTGATCTGCTGCTTGTTAAAAAAATCTACTGAAACATATTGCAGAAACTTAGTAAAAAAGTATATTTATTCATATGTGTTTTTGCTTGTGTGAATATCTGTGTCTGTTCATTTGTTTTATGTGCATATTTTTGTCCTGTAGGGAAGCTGTATGTTCGACACAACAGTCGGCAGCTGAGCAGGGTTTACCCATCAGGCCAGAGGTTACAGTCCTCCAACTACGACCCCCAGGACATGTGGAACGGAGGCTGCCAGATGGGTGAGCGACTGAACTCTCTGACATTCCTGCATGTCTGCAAGTACAGCAGCCAAAGCTTGAACGCTTCATCCTCTCTGTTCTCCAGTGGCTCTGAACTTCCAGACCCCAGGAGAGCAGATGGACCTGAACCAGGGCCGCTTTCTGCCCAACAGCCGCTGCGGATATGTGCTCAAACCTGACTTCCTGTGTCACCCGAAGTCCAACTTTGGCCCTGAGAACACGGGTGGAGGACCAGGACATATACCCACACAGCTTACCATACGGGTTAGTAGCAGCTCCTCTTCTCTTTTAGCTCGTCATGAATGGTCTGACAGGAAATATTGCTCAGGATCCCATGTGCTCTGTAAATATTGTGATAAATCTATTTTACTGTACTTGTGGGCTGTTTTGTTTCTCCCGCAGGTGATCTCGGCCCAGCAACTTCCTAAAATAAACACAGACAACCCCAACTCCATTGTGGACCCACAGGTCTGGGTGGAGATCCATGGAGTTTCCATCGATAAGGCTCGTGCTAAAACCCAGCGCATTGACAACAATGGTGAGACCACTGAGATATTCAGTTATCCATAGTTATTATGTTATGTTGTATGATCGTTTAATCAAAGGGGTCCTATTATGCTCTTTTACAAAATCTTGATTTTGTTTTGGGGGTGTACTAGAACAGGCTCTCATACTAGGTTGTTCGAAAAACACATTATTTTTCACATATTTTACATTATTACAACACCTCTCTCCCCAGTTTGGCATGAGCGGCTCGAATAGTTCCTGTATCAAATGAAAGCCCGCCTTCTGAAATACGAAATGTGCTGTGATTGGTTAGCTGGGCCAGTGTGTGTTGTGATTGATTAGCTGGGCCAGTGTGTACTGTGATTGGTTAGCTGAAATGTCATGCCCCTTACGATAGCCGCCTGCCAGCTTCAGTGTAAATATTGCGTCAAAATCAAATCAATTTGAGCGCGATTTAAACCCGGATGATTGTAACCACTCTAAGTTCGTCTGCCTTGGGAAAGCTAGTGTGTCTCCGACATAGTGATAACACTCGTTGCCTTCTCTAGTGCAGCTCAACCAGGTCTCGTCCCATTCGTCCATATTTGTGATATCACAAATCCCGGAAAATATGCGTTGTAGTCCAAACGAGTCGTTCGTTGTAGTTTTTAAAAAGTGATTTCTGTTAAATAAAATATCTCCTTTTGAAGTGGACTTTGAGCTTTGTAACTTCGCAGATCTTTTTTATGCTCAAACAGCAACATTACAGACTAACTAAAGTTGAAAAAATTAAAAAGCATAATAGGACCCCTTTAATCAATATCAATCCATTAGAATTGTGTGTGTGTGATAGAACATTAGTGATGTTTTAATGGTTGGCATATTGATTACAGTGTTTCATTTGTTTTTATTTTGTTGTTTTGAGCATTTATTTTGTGTGTGATAAACATATTCTAGCAGTAAAACGAGAGGTGTTCCTGTCAGGATTGAATATTGAGTATACAGTATGTGTGTGTGTGTGTGTGTTTGTCTCCCCCTGCAGGTTTCAACCCTCGTTGGGACTGTACTGTGAGCTTTCAGCTGCAGGTGCCTGAACTGGCCTTGGTGCGTTTTATGGTGGAAGATCACGACTACAAATCCAAAAATGATTTCATTGGCCAGTTCACCCTCCCTTTCACCAGCCTTCGAACAGGTGTGTGTGTGTTCAGATCACACAGTATGATGTTTTTATAAAACATATACTATATTAAACATGATTTGTGGTGGAAGTACTGTATGAATTTTAAATTTTGTTAAAAAGTTTGGGGTCAGTAAGATTTTTATGTAAAGAAATGAATACTTTTTGATCGATTTGATGCATCCTTGTTGAATAAATCAGTGACAGTGAATACATTTATAATGTTAAAAAAGATTGCTATTTCAAATAAATGCTGCTCTTTCTATTCATTAAATAATCATTAAAATTTTATCACAGTTTTTTCAGCATTTATAATAGTAAGAAATGTTTCTTGAGCAGCATATCAGAATTTCTGAAGGATCATGTGACACTGAAGACTGGAGTAATGATGCTGAAAATTCAGATTCACAGGAATAAATCACATTTTAAAATATATTAGAGCAGAAAACAATTATTTTAAATTGTTACATTATTTCACAATATCACCGTTACTTAAAGGGTTAGTTCACCCAAAAATGAAAATTAGGCTGTGTTTTACTCACCCCCGAGGCATCCTAGGTGTATATGACTTTCTTCTTTCAGACGAATCCAGTCGGAGTTATATTAAAAATTGTCTTTGATCTTTCAAGCTGTTTAATGGCAGTCAGCAGGTGTTGCAGTGCATCAGTCCCAAAGAAGTGAAATAAAAAGCGCCCATCCATAAAAAAAAAGTGTCTCACACACGGCTCCCGGGGGTGAGCAAAGGCCTCCTGTAGCGAATCGATGAGTTTTTGTAAGAAAAATATCCATATTCAAAACGTAATAATCACTTTAATGTAGCTTG